CATTGTGGTAATTAATTAATTCGGTCTAAAAATAATGCTTAAATAAATATATGAATAAATAAATAAAAAAAAATCTTTATTGTTTCCTTCAAAGAACAATACAATTTACAAAAAAATATATAACAATATTTACACAAACAAATCATCATCATCCGGGTCTTCTTACCCGCCTTAATAGTGTAGGCGGGTGAGGTGGGGGTCTCGGGGTAAACCCCTTTACCCCGGCTGCATCTCCGGAGGCCACTACCTCCGGGTCACTGGGTTTTGAGCCGGCATACACTGGTGGTCTGTGTATGCCGGCGTGGTGTCTTCTTGTTGTGGCCTCTTCTTCTTTCTTGTAGTGTATATATATATATATAAATTTTTTTTTTTTTTTTTTTTTTTTTTTTTTTTTTTTTTTTTTTTTTTTTTTTTATTATAAAGTTGTAATTCTCCCCTCTCGCCCGTTCCCAGATATATATAATAGATGTTAATAATAGATAAGTGTTAGTAAGGGTCGACACAAGAAGTGTGTCGGCCCTCCCCCCGCTTGGACGCGGGGGATATAATTACACACTTGGAACGGGCGAGAGGAGGGAATGAGAAAGAAGAAGGGAAATGGGGAAAAAGGGTAGGTAAGTCGTCATACTGGTAGACGAGGCAATCACGATCACTATTCGCCTGTGCACAGGAGGTCCCTAGGCGTGGGACGGCCGTCCGGTGGACGCGCATGCAGCGGCGCGAGGCCCCTCAAGTGTTGATGGTGTCCGCTGTCGGCACGGGCGAACATTTTGCTCGCCATGTCGACAACGAACTCCTCCACCGTTGGGAATAACGTCGTTACGGACGTATCTGCCCGCTCCCGTGCACAAGCGGAGAGCGATGTTTTGCTGGGCCTGCAGCCGGCGCCTAAGCGTCGGAGAGCACAGTGCATACCAAGCGGGTGCGGCATAAAACGGACGTAGGTCTTGTAGATAGAGACCCGCGTCCGTAACGGCAACCTGGAAGTTAGCACCGGTCGGAGAAAGGCGCGCGCCGCGCGAGCCTGCGCTATGGCACGCGACACCTGCGGCACCATTCTCAACGACCGGTCGATGTCGACCCCTAGGTATCTCCTTATTAAGGAGCCTTAAGGGCGGCGGCGGTGCTGTACGACTGCGGCGGACAAGTAGCGCGACCGTTTTGTCAACATTGACGGCCATGCGCCACCTGTCCAACCACTCCGGCAGCAGGTCCAGTTGCCGCTGCATTTGAGCGGCGGCTCTCGTCTTCCAGTACGACGACGTGAAAAATCCCGTGTCGTCGGCAAACAGAGCGACACAAACAAAATGAATTATTAATATTAATAAGTAACAAATGGGCGGCCTTATCGCTAAATAGTGATCTCCTTCAGGCAACCTTAAGATGGAGAGGAGTAATTAAAATTGTGCTGGTCAAGGCGTAATAGAAAAATAATAAGACTATAATAAAAAAAAAAAGGTAAAAAAAAAGGGCTAAAAATAAATACATATGCATGCATCAATGTAATAATTCACGTTTATTTATATAATAATACATGAATTATGTAGGTATCTTATTGTGAGAATAAAAAAAAAATAGTATATTACCAGGGGTAGATTTTACCAGAGGGGATTTTGTACAAAAGTCGTTTGCTTGGGTACCTCTGTCCCATTCCTGTTTCTACCGTGAAGCAGTTGTGTTTGCATGGCTGTGTTTCGGTTTAAAGGAATATGGTAGTGAATTTCCTGAGTCCTCAGGAATGGCAATGCATGGGAGGTATCATGGGAGAAACAGTATACTCTGTTACGTCCATGGTACTGCTCATGTCTATAGGCGACGGTTACCACTTTCCATCAGGTGGACCGTCAGCTTGTTTGTCAATCTAAGTTGTATAAAAAAGACTAAAGCCAAAACATATAATACATTGATATAATTTTAATAAATAATGTAACGCAGTATAGTTTATACTAGACGGATACTGTTATTAAATCTTATTTAACATAAATTCACGAGAAAAAAAGAGTGAAATAGTGTAATCTCTGATATTTTCGCTTGGCTTTTGATATAATTTACGGTTTATAAAGATAGAAGAAGTTTTATAACTGCGCCACTAAATAACTTTTATTCGGTTATCCAAACAGACAGGGACTACATCATAACTGAAATATTCATCATCATCATGAAGAAGAATCGAGCATGAAAACATTGTAAAAATAATAAGCTTTGAACGTAAAACGCTTCTCACGATTTGCCAATTGCCTATTGTTTCAAAACGCCCAAAAATATTTTATGCTTTTGTGCTATTGTGTTTTTTTTTTTATTTTGGGACCTTTGAATGCAAGGCCTGCATGTGTTCAACATGTGTAGTCATAAAGTGACCTCTGGGGAGTTGGCAAAAAGATTAGTGATGTACAGATAAAGGTATCGATTGTATTGCAATGTCGATGAATACGAGTATAATGTAAACTAATATTATCTTATATGCCATTAAGAGACTACCGACTAAACCGTTTTTCAAAAAGAACGATCACGCTCACTTTTTTCTTTATCCGAGCAGTAATTGCTTTATATTATTCTCAATTTCGTGTATAATATAGTCATATATGTGTAAGTATACTTGTTATACATATACATTTATTCGTTTATATATGTAATTTTAGTATGTACGTATATCAATAATTACTAGTACCGCATTCGAGTATTCTGACACTTCCCTATATTTGATTGGGAGAGAATGCTTTTAGCATTAAGTCCGCCATGTACACATATTTGTACTAATGAATAAATAATATTATAAAGAGGAAACATTTGGTTTTTTAATTGTAATGGATAATCTCAAAAAATATTTAACCAATTTTAAAAATTCTTTCACCTGTGGAAAGCTACATTGTCAGCAAATAACATAGACCGTATTTTATTTTAAAATAATCGGAAAATAAAATATTAGTTGTAAGTTTTAAATATTATCTGTGGTTGTGTATGTCTTATCTGTATGGTGTAACTTTTTTTTAACTCTTTTCACTTCGTTGTCGCCGTATTTGCGATATTAAAATGCTAACATTAAATCTACTGTCGTGGTTATGACTTTATTTATGACGTGGTAATTTATAAAGCTGAGCGCGTGCGGTAAATTGTCAGATTGGCGTAACGTACAAAATACGAGTGAGATACGAAACAAAACGCCCTCTATCTACAAGTAGTAAAAACCATAGCCAGTCCATCGACATCGGGCGAACAAAGCGCGTCACTATTCTGCTGTGGTCATAATTTACAGGCCACAAATCTCGGCGACAGTTAAACTTTCGACCGTGACGCTCTGCAAACAAAGAAACCACGTCCACAACTGGGAATATGCACATTTGTGACAACTGTATACGTTTCATGATGCCTTAGTACTTTTTTTTTATTTTGGTATATTCACTAGTTGTATCCTATGGTTTTGCTCGTGTAAAATAGATGTGAGTATCATTTGTGGATTTAGGATAAGAAATTGTATTCAAATCAGTTTAGCTATTTGAATAAGCTGTAAAGAATTTTCTTATTCCTAGCAATAATACCAGATAAATATACCAGAGGGAGACTTTGTACAAAAGTCGATTGCTTGGGTACCTCTGTCCCATTCGTGTTTCAACCGTGAAGCAGTTGTGTTTGATCCCTCTGGTAACTGAAAATCGCCTCCCCTTCTTGTTACTCCGTTAAAATTACGTTCGCATCCCAAAATAGCGAGTGTACTTTGCGCCTGCGCACCTGAATGCCATAAATTTACTTATATAAGTATTATTTCAAGTCTGCAACGCAATTCGCCATTTTTACACATTTTTAACTTACCGCGTCTGGGGGGAGGAGGGATTGTTAGTAATGGAGACTAATAATCCCATTGCTAGCAATATACCCAACCAGGTCGACTTCCTTGCGGTTCCCCTGGAAACTATAATGGTTAATTCCTGATGAATTCATCATGATGGGCTAACTGGCCGGTTTTTAATCGTTAATTATCCACTAAGTGAACACAATCTCCCCCATAAGGGGTAGTTTAGCCAGTAGTTGCCACGCTTGGCAGGCGGGTTGGCAAACGTAGTTAGGCTTTGAAGATGTTTTCTTAAAACGTTGCTGTCAATCCCTTGACCAATAAGCTCCCTTAGTCGCCTCTTACGACACCCACGGGAAAGGAAGGGGTGGCCCATTCTATGCCGGGATCACACGGCAAACAGTGATGTTCAGCATATTTTAAATAAATACTTTATAATAATAAAGAATAATTGTGGAACATACATATGTAATATTTTTATTAACTTACACTTCAATGGAAATCATAAGTTTCCATTCTACGAATTAGAATTCCACGCGCGTAACGCCGCGTGCATTTATAAGTTAGGCATAAACATACGTTGCATGAATTATAATATTAAATGTAATAATTTTCGAAAGTGTCTCTTTTATCAGAACTCAATTGTGTAATACGATAAGGTTTTTTCATAATGGGCTAACATTTGAATTTACTGGGTACAGAGGAATAACACCTGAGTCCTCAGGAATGGCAACGCATGGGGGGTATCATGGGCGAAACAGTATACTCTGTTATGTCCATGGTACTGCTCATGTCTATAGGCGACGGTTATCACTTTCCATCAGGTGGGCCGTCAGCTTGTTTGCCATTCTAAGTAGTATAAAAAAAAACATGGGATGCTTAATCTGCCTGCGTTATCTTTTGTTTTTTTTTTATGGGCGATAATAAAATGGTAACCCCGCCTGCGCTAACGGTATACGCTGGCGGGGCACCAGTGATAAATGATAGGTGAGGATGAAAGCAGGTCAGTTAGTTCATCGCGATGAATACTTCTGGAATTCCATACGATGGCTTCCAGTGGAAGTCATCCATTAAAGAAACACGTTATCTTATATATCTATCAATCCTATCAAGTTGCAATAAAAATGTCTCCCCCTGAGAGACCAATGTCCACTAGTGGGACGTTGATAAGTTGTAATAAACATATTCATAAAATAATATTCAATCGTTTCAGACGACACGACCAGCGTGATAGCGGCGAGTGCAAACGAGAGGCTGCGGCTGGTTTGCGGACAACGAGCGACACGGGCCGAGCGAGTGACGTGGTACAAGGACGAGAAACCCATCAACAACCAGTTAAAGTCCAGATTTTTGCAGCAGAGGCAATCGTAAGTATTTCTATATTATATTTCTTTACCAATAGCCAACTTTGTAAAGTTGGTTGCAAGTGCTTGAAGTGAGTCTTGAGTTAAATGGCTGCTACCTCTATTCAGCATGACATGGCAGTGAAGATCCAGGGTATGGAAGCATAATACTATAACTCTCAAGAATGGTAACGCATGAGGTCCATAAGTTTCACAGTGTGATTCACTCTTCACTCAGTTGCTTCACTTTCACACCCAGTGAACACTCGGTTACTTCAGTGTGATTCACTGTGATTGTTAATCGACAGTTACTATTTTCCATGACGTGGGCCGTCAGCTTGTTTGCCATTTTATATATCATTAACTAAACATAGCAAATATATTTCTGCAGTAGTGAGTGTGTATATAGATGGATCAGGACTATTCTTTAGAGGAGGCCAATGTTCAGCAGCATATCAGTTACGGTTGAAATTTTTCTTGAATTCCTTTAACACTGCCTTAGACGTATGTCCCTGACATGGCAAATTTTCTGAAAAACGAGCTGCGGTGGTCAATTTCATGAAGCGTACCGTAGGTGTACTTGTATTATTGAAAAATTTGCTCTTCCAAAAAATATTTTCATAAAAATTATAGTCCAAAGTTACAGTCAAAATTATAGTCTAAGGACGATGTACGAATTCTAATGATAGCCCATATATTCAAACCTGTTTAGGCATTTAGAAGTTACGCTGGAATGAAAAAACTTACATTGCATACAAACACGAATCCTAAAAACTATTACGCTCATTTTTTGTGCAATCGCGTAGAAATTACTTGTTATTTATATATTGAAAAATTCAAAATGTTTTTCAAATAACTTTAGTTATTCAATTCACGAAGGCGACACTTTTCAAGATCTGCCGAATTCCGTCGATATTGTGTTTACTCATGGGCGGTATTAGTCTTACCATCAGGTGAGCGTACTCGATTGCCCCCTGTGTTATAAAAAAGAAAAAGCTTTTTTCTGTAGTCTCATTCAATAAGTTTATGCTATCCAATGGATAAAGTCTATAAAAAGTAATAGATGTACTGTAAATACAGAGTATGATAACAAAATTCTGTTACTTGAAAAGCTGCTACATCATCAAATAAGTACTGCAAATACTACATCCAAACATCCAAAATAGCATTCCACAAATATGAACTATAAATCAAAATCACAGAACATTGTTGTGGTAACTGACTTGATAGATGGAGTTATCACATTTAATGCTGGAATAGAATTATGGACATGGGTAAATCGTGTTGCATCAATATTTACACAGATCGGGACAGGGTTATCGCACTTAATTTTATGCTAATGTCAAACAATCCGGGTGCCAGTATAATTCATAATTTTTAAGGGAATTTAAATATGATTTTCTACTATACCAATTCTGGACCGATTTTGGTAGTTATATTGACAAGAGATAAGTCTTATTATGAGTATTTCACCATGATTACAGTTGCTGCATCGTTTTGTTTGTTTGTTTTGTAAAGCTTATTTTGCTTATTGTCAATATAAATCTTGAATTTAAGTTAGATTGAATGCATCGTAACAGTTAAATATATTTCCGTATATCTGCAAGTCTATTTGCATGGAGAGATACTCTGATCAATAACACGATTAACGATAAGCACGATTGTAATGTTTATTTATTTTATCTACATGTGAATATAGTCAAGGAGTCTGCAAAAATATTTACGCTTCAGGATACCTCTGATGTGCAAGGAAAAATGAGACTATAGCCGTGAGCATTACCTATTAGATTTTTAAGAATTGATAATTGAAAAATAAAATATGAAGTAAAGAAGATTGCATTACTTTAATAATAATTAACTTATAATATAATTGATAATATAATAAATTACTTGCATTAACTTCTGAAGACAAGAACAGAAGCATTTTATTTTAAAGCAGATAGTTTAAAATTAATATTTTGAAGTAGTTGACACCCCTAGCTCTATCTGTAAAGATGAAAACATCTCTAGATACCCCGCATGCAACTATGCGATTCTATTCGAAGCATCTGTAAACATTCTGCCATCAGTGCACGATCTATCATGTTTCTGTATACGAGAACTGTTATATTACTGTAGAGATTTGTGAAAACCAAACGGATTGGTAATATCAAGAGAACATGGATTTATAACAATAGCATTATCATTATTATCCGGAATTCCTTTATCATTAAATAATTTTACACATTGCACATGCTTTAAAATACTATTATAAAAATAAATATTATATATATATATATATATATATATATATATATATATATATATATATATATATATATATGTATATATGTATGTATAATATTAATAACTAAGGTACTTTTTTAACTATCCACTGCTAAACATAAGTCCTCCCCTTGAGGGGTTTTGCCAGTAGTCTCCACACTTGGCAGGTGGATGGTCAATCGCAGTTAGGCTTTACAGATGTGGTAATCGTCGCCTATAGACATGAGCAGTACCATGGACATAACAGACTATACTGTTTCGCCTATGATACCCCCCCCCCCCCCCCCCATGCATTTACATTTCTGAGGACTCAGGTGTTAACCCTCTGTTCTCTGTAAATTCATGTCATATCCCACCCTTCACACCGAACACAGCCATGCAAACACAACTGCTTCACGCTAGAAACACGAATGAGACAGAGGTACCCAAGCAATCGACTTTTGTATAAAGTCTCCCTCTGGTATTAGTATATATTAGTATTATTTATTAATAGTAGTCAAATACTATTTGTTAATCATTGTTGTTATTGGGGTTATTGTTTTAAATAACATTTTTTTTTTTCGTCTCGGAAGTTTATATAAAGAAAATTTTTAAAGATGTTACGAATATGTATTGTAATTTATAATTAGTAGTTTTTGTAATTGGGAAAGTCAATTTTATTTATTAATTTTTCAGGTTGCGAATAAAAAGCTTTCGTCCGGAAGACGCAGGAGTGTACAGCTGCGTTAATCAGGATAGTCTCAAAGAACTGAGAGTCACCATCAAACATAAGCCTGATTATGACCAGGATGTGGTAGAAGGTAAGTCATTAGTCGTATTGTGTACAGAAAGATGCAAATGAATATGAATATGAATAAATTTAATCCAGACTAAAGAATAATCCACTACATCTGAACATGACAAGTCCGACAAATGTATATATATATATATATATATATATATATATATATATATATATATATTGTGTATTAAAGTTTAATAAAATAATAATAAAAAACTAAATGTAATAGTTTAGACTCCTAGTCAAGGTGTACATATACATAGTCTATACGCTAGTATGTATAATACTAATAAAAAATATTTTGACTTGCTTTGTGAAAGCCCATAAATATTATCTCTGGTAAGTCTTAAACAATCTGCACTGATTAGTGTACCTACACAATTTATTAATTGTTATATTGATACTTTAAAAAAACTAGGAAACATAGACAACATTCAACAGATCCGATTTAAATGCATTCTTTTATTGTCTTTATTATTGCACACACAGAAGGGGCGTTTATGTGTGTGTTCAGTGTTATTTTGGTGTTGTATTTTATTGACATCTTTACTGACCATCCAGATGTATAAACACTGAGCCAAATTCATGCCGGATTCGCAAATGCAAATATATTGCGATCACGTGTAGAAATGTTTTTAATGCAAACTTGTTATGATTATGAATAATGCTCACGTAAATTTGCATTTCCTTTAAAAATACATTTAAAAAATAAGAAGTGTGCATAAAACACATAATTATTGTCTTTGTTAGTGTGTAAAACAACCATATTCCTTACTGTTGAGACATTTATGTGAAATATTGTTGTTGATATTACAGTGTTTTGTTTATATTTTGCAGAATATGAAGCCGATGTAAGCGATGGATTTGTAACAGAAATATTATCAAATCGAAATTCGAATGAAGATGAAATGTTACGTCTCAAAAACGACAGATACGTACGGAATCTAAAACTAAAAGAATTCGATAGCAGTAAGAATGATGAATTAAATGATAAAGATATCAGTCACGAAGTTGATGATAGTTCTATGAAGTTCGCTCCTAGATTTGTACATCCACAGAGAATGTTCAATTCGAAAACAAAGCAAGTCGGATCTTTTATCAAACTGAAATGCATTGCCGAAGGTAATATTTAGTAATTAAGAAATAATGCTTTTGATTCAATTAGAGAGATTATTTATTGGGTAAATGAGTAATAAGTTAGACAACTAAATAAAAGAGATTAAGCAGATTTTCACACAACAATAAACGAGAGAAGTGACTAAAGTTAATTTGACGCAGTATATACTGTGCTGTTTTAATTATATGATATTAATAATTTTGTACACATTTATTAAAGCTACACGAGTATCCAATTGCACATTTTAAATACACCGTCCTTAACTAAATATGTATCATTCTTTTCGCTACAACAAATATTTCTTATTGAAACATTAAGGAGGCTATCCAAATTCTATTTAAGGAAAATATCATGTCATGCCATGAAATTACGTTCTCTCCACACGTTTATTTATATAAGCAGGCTGAAGTCTTGCTTCAGCCGTAACATAATTATATTGCGTGTTACTGAACAACTAAAAGCATTTTTATTATCGTCGTAAACTTTTGCAGGCAACCCAACTCCGACTATAGACTGGAAGAAAAATAATGCGTCTATTGTGAGGAATGTCCCTCCTATATACACGAAATGGTCTGTTGACATTGAGGAACTGAGTAAAAGCGATGAAGGGAATTACACGTGTGTGGTATGCAATGAATTGGGATGTATTGAACATAATGTGGAGCTTAATGTTGCAGGTAAGATAATTTAATGTTGTAACTGTGTATTGATATAAAGATTAATGTATAATGGGAAATATTACACAACAATTGATAATTATCATTTATTTATTTATTTATTTATTTACATTAGTACAACAATTGATAATTATCTCTCCCATTCTCTCAAGATACTGATTCCATTTTTCACCTTTTAAATCATTATTTTGTTTGTTTCATCTGTTCAAAAAAATTTTCAACCTAAAATTACTTTGCCAAAATTAAATCAACCGTTCTTCAAACGATGTCGTATATATTACCTGTGTATTTTATTACAGACAACCAATCTCATGATATTGATGTTACTCACCCAATGCCGGAAATATTATCGCAACGAAGAGCAGCCGCTCTTGTTGAAAATAATACAGAAGAACATAAAAATCCAACAGAACATACAAGATCTACAAAAAGTTTAAAACCTAGAGAATACGACAACACAAAAGATGATGATCCAGATGAAAGGAATGATAAAGATCATCCAGCTTACGGTGCGATGGATAACTCAACTACAAAATCTCCGCCTAAATTTAAACATCCACAAAAAATGTTCAAAACAGAGATGAAGCCGGCTGGAAGTACTATTAGACTGAAATGTGCAGCCGAAGGTACATAATTATATTCTATAAACAAAACCTGTAATACTTATTGTCTTTGTATTACTTTCACGTATTAACAAAATATATAAAATGTTAAATCAAACTATGTTTTATGTTAGTTATTTTTTATTATATATTATTTAAGTCTAAACAATTTTTTTAACATTTGATTTTTTATTTGAAATGGAAAAACTCAAAAAATACTAAACCGATTTTATTAATTCTGTTACCTATAAAAAGTTACGAGTAGATACATTATCAGCGAGTGAAATGGGTTATATTTCATTTTAAAAATAAAGATCTTTTACCGATTTTTTATTTAGTATTTTATCGATATTTGTACTAACAAAACAATATTTGTATATCTTTAGAAGTTTAAGCAAAAATCTAAATAAACAATTAATTGAGAACTTGTTTTAAATATTTAATATTTGTTCATCAGGTAATCCTACTCCAAATATAACATGGACGAAGAACAATGGACCAATAGGCAGGAGTTTCTTTCCTCCAAACTATGGAAAGTGGTCAATAGAGCTCACTGAGTTGACCAAGAATGACGATGGTAACTACACATGCAATGTCTGCAACGAACTCGGTTGCATCACGCACAACGTTGAAGTCAACATCATTGGTAAGATAACTTTGTACATAAATATCATCATCTTTCATTAATAATTAATATTGATCAGAATACTAACATCGTTGAAACCATTTAATTTCCAAAAGTGAAATGTTAGAAAATTTTCGCTGCTTACCCCGAATGGGATTGTTTGGAATATAATACAAGGTATATAAAGAAAGAAGTAATTATGTATAAAATAAACTCGCCTGTTAATTTAAGTGTACAAGTACAAGTATAAACTTTATAATTATTAATTTTAAAATATTGAACTTTTAAGAGCGCTATCCGGCAAAACCATATATTAAGGAAGGGTACCCGGGAAATCGAAGTGTGTTAGTAAATAGTACAGCCGAACTGGCCTGCCCACCCTTCTCGGACCTAGAACCAGTGGTACTATGGTTCAGGTTATCTAATTATTCAATAAAAGACGGAGAAGTGGGACCCAGTGATGCCCCCATTCCACCTGGATATGAAATAAAGGTTTATACATTTTAGAATTCGGTGAAGGCTCTTGACTAATTCGTCCAGTAAAATCCAATATTTGTGACTAATATATTCTGTTTAAATTGTTTCGTAATAGTTACACTTATTAAAATAGAAAATTTAGATATAACATAACATATCTTTATCGGTGGTGGTTTGTGGATTGAAAAATCATAGAAATAATACTTCTATGCTTTTTAAATTTATAAATTATTGAAACTTCTTATACGTGTAGATGTTATATTAAGTTTAATTTATGTTTAAGAATTGTGGTGGTAACTAGAATTATATGAACTATGTTTTTTTTTTTATGTAAGAAGAGAGAAGTATGAACTGAAAGACGATGTAGTGACTAAGATTGAAAAGGGGATGTTGCATTGGTTAGATTGTTTGGAGAGGGTAGATAAAAAAAATTACGAAAATGATTTGTCGAATAAATGGAGATGTCGGTAGGAGCAAAACGGTACCAAATTGGTATGTCTTCGGTATATCAACCAAACAGGTGATATACTGAAAAAGGACAGATTTAAAGATACCCGTAATCGGCGATGATGTATGAATAAATGAATGAATGTGGAGGAAGCAAGAGAGGTCTGTTTGAATAGGAGCATTTGAAGGATCATTGTTTCTGCCTACCCCAATGGTAAACAAACATGATGGATTTGTATGTGTGTATATTTTTTTTTATTTAAGGGATACACAGACGATATGATAACATCGTCTTGCTTTAAAGTGATAAAAAATAGAAATTAATCTTAAAGACAGTTCTGAGCTGCATACGATATTGGAATAGATGTCACTGATATAAAAAGTGCATGAATACATGTAATATCCATGTATGATGTAATGTCTGAATCAAATATTCATTTATTTGTATTTTAATAGTCTATAATTTTAACATGGCTCTTATTGTGAAAGCTATTTTTGTGTTTAAAGAAACTGATCAACCAACTTTTATAGCTATATTAAATCAAGGATTTATGTTATAACCAGATATATTTTCAACATTATAGAGCGTGTTTACGCGAAACCAGTACTTACAAAGGGCGTGGTGAATCAAACCAAGCTCGTTGGTGAAACTGCTCACTTCAGCTGCTCATTCCTCTCAGACATGCATCCTTATATCTACTGGATGTATATTGCAAAAGATGAATATGTATATACAGATGTAGATCCAAATGGTTCTACAAATTCGATGGCGTACACTGATGTTAATAAGATTAAGATGGTGAGGGGTTGCTTGCTAATAAGATTGTGGTTGAGTTTTGTTGCATGTTTTATGTTGTGTGTTGTAATGTTGCATGAGTATGTTGCATGTTATATTTAATTTAGTTGCACTATTGAAGCATCAGTGTGATCTTTAATTTTCAATAATACCTTCTCTTTCTTTTAATGTTTAAGGAAACATTTAATTGCATCTGTTGGTTTTATTATTGTGCCTATTAATTCTTCAGTGAAAAATATCTACATTTACGGGTCAGCTGATATAATGTGGTTTACGTTTGATAAAATTGCTTGGTTTGTATTGAATTTTTCAATTTATACTTACAAAGTGAGAGTAGTTATTAAGAATTTTAGCATGAGTTTTTATTATTCGTTTTCATTAAAGTGTTCTACAATAGTGTGTGTTCATAGTTAATTAAGTAATATGCAAATATTGAAAATTTAAGTTTTTTTTTTTTAACATTACCTGACAGATGTTTTATTTACATTACAGTCTGATAATCCTGATGACAAACCAGAGCATTTAACTATTTATAATGTAACAAAGGATGACGAGGGTTGGTACGTTTGTATTGCTAGCAATGGACTTGGAAACTCTACTGCTATAGGATACCTTACTGTTATGGATTGTAAGTATATTTTGATTCAGAGATAATTTTATCTGTCCTTGAAAATATTAATGTTAATAATTAACTGTTTGGATTGTTTTATTTCTATTCTTTCAGTTTACATTAAATATGGAAATTTGGTATATATCATTTAGGATACAGATTTTCATCATGTCGTAACTATATTGAAACATTTTATTATACACATTAACGTTATACTGTCAGACTAAACTTTTCTTTTATACTGTGCATCTTCTCTTAATTTAGGTTTTTGGTAATTCATGTTATATAATTTAATTTATAAAAACTATTTAAATATTACAGCCATGCCAGAACCTGAACAATTAGATACGGGGAAGCACACTCTTCTCATAAATATACTGACTGTGGTACTCGGTGCTATGTTTGTGGTAGCTGCTATCATAGTACTGATGATTTTCAAAAAGCTAAAACGAGAAAAGATAAAGAAACAGCTGGCTATAGAGACAGCAAGAGCGGTGATAGTAACGCATTGGACGAAGAAAGTGACAGTAGAGAAACCACAGATGAATGGGTCGCCCAACGCTTCTGGAGAAGCTTTGGTGAGAATTAGTATTCGATTTTAATTAGATATTGTAATCTATAGTTATGCCACTAGTATTTTATAAAATTAAATATATTGGGATTTTTATTGAAAAAATTCTATTGTAGAGTAATAAGATTTTATAATTTTTAAATTCATAGGAAATTCTTTAAGGATACTTAACTAAAAGTTTTTCCTTAAGAATTCTGTTAAGAATATTTTATTTCAAAATTTTTGGTAAATCTATAATGTAATATTTGTATCTGCTTTAGTTTTAATTATAAATTTGTCTAAAGTTGTAAAATAGGATGTTCCCTTATTTGTAATAGCAGCCTAATTAAGTGACGTAACTATAAACATAATTTGATTGCTTCTTTTAGCTGATGCCAGTAGTTAAGATAGAGAAACAGAAATTATCACAAGTTCAAGGTCACACAACTGACTCAATGATGATGTCCGAATACGAATTGCCAGTAGACATAGACTGGGAGGTGGCGAGGGAGACCCTACTGTTGGGGAAGGTGCTGGGTGAGGGAGAATTCGGAAAAGTAGTCAAGGCCGAGTGTGTTGGGATAGTAAAACCTGGCGTGCCATCGGTTGTAGCTGTCAAAATGTTAAAAGGTTTGTGTTTAATTTAAAACTTGATTTTGGGCAAATATTTTGTTGTTTATATAATTATGTATTTAGAAAACATTTTTGATGTTTTCAATACCCAAATCACTTATTATTATATCTTTGTGTATATTTCTTTTTATTTCAATTCTAGCCTTTCAAAGTATAGGTCCTATTGTTGTGTATCAGACTTTAATTAGTGCACCTAAGTCTTAAGACTGAGGATTTCGTTGAGCACTTAATAATATATGTATATAGGAATAAAAATCGTGTTTTTTTTTTACATTTTTTTCATTTCTGAAGGTCTTCATTCCACGCGACCTTTTTGCGCCAAGTTGTGCAGTTTTTCATTAGCATTGTATTACAATTCCATTATTTCCAAATCCACATATTAAATTTACGACATCGATGATTACAGAAGGTCACACAGACGCTGAAATGATGGCTCTGGTTTCTGAGATGGAGATGATGAAAATGATCGGGAAGCATGTGAATATAATTAACTTGCTCGGTTGCTGTACACAAGATGGACCACTCTACGTCATTGTTGAGTACGCTCCCAACGGCAACCTTAGGGAGTACTTGAGGAATCACAGACCTGGGAACAGGTATGTATATTAAAAATTTACAGATGCAGGAAAATCATTTACCTTAATTCCAGTAAATAAGACATAATAATTATGTCACATATTTTTCACCACATCTGCCCTTCATACGCTTTCTGTTTTTACCTAATAGTTACCTAGTGGGGTTGGGGGGGGGAAGGGATTGTTAGCAATGGAATTTGACAGCCCCATTGCTAGCAATATGCACTATTAGGTTGACCTCCACGTGGTTCCCCCTGGAAATCATCGTGAACAATTCTTGCTGAATTCGTCACGATGGGCTAACTGACCTGCTTCATCCTCATCTATCATCCTTCACTGGTGACCCGTCAGTGTATACCGATAGCGCGGGTGGGGATACCATTCCATTATAACCTATAAAAAAAATTGCTGGTAGAGAATGCCATATAGCATTAAGCTTACTCATTTAAAAAAGTTTTATTGTGCAATAAAGAATAAATACGAGTAAATAAAAATAAATAAATAAATAGATATAAATAAATTATATATCTATTTAAGTAATGCAAATAAATTATATAGGTGTTTATAATTTTTACATATTTGTATATAATATATATAAATTTAAATATAATTAATTTATCTATCTGTCTAAAAGATGTCATTATAATTTACATAGCATTTTTTTCATTTTGAACATTGAGCAATTATTCAATCTGTTATAGATACGAGCCACTACCAACTGAGAACTTGAAAGAGAAGAAAACTCTGACGCAAAAAGATCTCGTGTCATTTTCTTATCAAGTCGCCAGGGGAATGCAGTATTTAGCATCAAGAAGGGTAAGTGACACTCTTTGTTTAGAATAATCTAAGTACCTCTAATAATAACGAGTATAAATACTTACAGAATTGTGAATTTACGATTTTTACTCGGTTGCATAACGATAAAAGATGAGTGATGTGTTTATTAGTCTATGTATGTGTGTTTGTGGCACTTAAGAGACTAAACGCGTGGGCCGATTTTATTGATTCTTATGTCAATCTTATTTATTTTAATTACTAGAGTTATTAAAGACATGGTAGTAATCAAAATTCAATATGTCGTCAACCAGATGGCATATTGTCAAAAAAAAGTCGACGAACTACGCTTAGAAAGCTTATTATATAAAAATAGCATATCCATACAAATGTTTGGGCAAAAACAAATTAGGATTGAGATATTTAAGACAGCAAAAGTTAAAAATTGATTTTAAACGTTTCAGTGTATACATCGAGACTTGGCAGCTCGAAACGTCCTAGTTTCAGACAACTGTGTGCTGAAAATCGCGGACTTTGGTCTCGCGAAAGACGTGCACAGTAACGACTACTACCGCAAGAAGACGGAGGGCAGGCTCCCGGTGCGGTGGATGGCGCCCGAGTCCTTGTACCACAAAGTGTTCACCACGCAAACTGACGTGTTAGTACCATTCTAGACTTGTGCATATCGTTTGGAAAGTAATTTAAGGGAATTGGCAATGAAATATGAGAATTATCTTTTCTCTATAATATTTGAACATGTTTTTTTTTTAATGTAACAACATTTAAAGTGGCCTAGTGTCCAAAGAATTGACTTTACTAGATGGAACTCCCGCGATATTACATTATTTTAATCAGGAGGTCAATGTATTCTGTGATGTTTATATTTGCTAGTAGTTGCCACAATTGGCAGGTGGATTGGCAACCTCAGTTTACCTTTTGGTCATGTTTTAAGAGATACGTTGCTGCTCATCTCTTTACCATAAGTTCCTTTAGTCGCCTCTTACTACACCAATGGGAAAGGAAGGGGTAACGTATTCTATGATGGGGTTTACAAGGATGTTCATAGTACTGTCCGTATTTATAGTAGATGGTTACTGCTTTCCATCAGGTGGGCCGTCAGCTTGTTTTCTAAGTTACAAAAAAAAAAATTATAGTTCAGGACCGTTCATTGCCTATAAGAGAGATTTATGTTTATCAATAAACAATGTATGGTAGAAGTAACGATGCTGTTGAAAATTGTCGATTCCTAAATGACGTCGTTTCATCATCAATCATCGAGAAGAGATTATATTTTTACTGTAACAATACAAAATTTCGATACCCCTTATCATCTCTAAGATATAACCTAGGGTACATCATCATCATCATCATACCAGCCTTTAGCTGTCCACTGTTGAACATATCTCTCCTTTTTGGTGGAGTTTGCCAGTAGTTGCCATGCTTGGATTAGCAACTGCAGTTAGGCTATAAAGATGTTTTAAAAGGGACGCTGCTGTCCATCCCTCGCCTTCTCTTAGTCGCCTCTTACGACACCCACAGGAAAAGAAGGTGTGGCCTATTCTATGCCGGGACCACACGACCACATGGCCAATGGTTTATTATAAAGGTCTATTAATATTCTGTTATGTGCAGGTGGTCATTCGGTGTGCTGCTATGGGAGATCATGACACTGGGTGGCACGCCGTACCCGACGGTGCCCGGACAGTACATGTACCAGCACCTCAGCGCCGGACACCGCATGGAGAAGCCTCCCTGCTGCAGCCTAGAGATGTTAGTATCCTGTTATTACGTATCGTAATATACAATGTACGGGGGGAAGGGATTGTTAGTAATGGAGACTGAGAATCCCATTGCTAGCAATATACCCAACCAGGTTGACCTCCTCGCGGTTCCCCCTGGAAACTATCATGGTTAATTCCTGATGAATTCATCATGATGGGCTAACTGGCCTGTTTTCATTCTCATCGATCACCCTTCACTGGTGCTCCGCCAGTGTATCCCGTTGTATCCGAGTTCGTAATTATTATCAACATGAATGAATGAATGAATGAATGAGTATACTTTATTTGCATTATACAATATAGGAAATAAACAAGACAATTTACAAACACAACGATACGATTGTATAAGTACAGTGAGGCGGTCTTATTGCTGAGAGCAATCTTTACAAGACAACCTTAAGGTAATGGACTAATTGTTGTACAAGTAGGTATTGTATAATTAAGAAAATTGAACAGAATAAAACATTTATGTATTTATTAGATTTTATGTATTTATATTTCACCAGAGGGAGACTTTGTACAAAAGTCGATTGCTTGGGTACCTCTGTCCTATTCGTGTTTCAACCGTGAAGCAGTTGTGTTTGCATTACTGTGTTTCGATTTGAAGGGTGGGATATGGCGTGAATTTACTGGGTACAGAGGAATAACACCTGAGTCCTCAGGAATGGCAACGCATGGGGGGTATCATGGGCGAAACAGTATACTCTGTTATGTCCATGGTACTGCTCATGTCTATAGGCGACGGTTACCACTTTCCATCAGGTGGGCCGTCAGTTTGTTTGCCATTCTAAGTTGTATAAAAAAAAAAACATATCCCGAACGAAGTTGTGGATAAAAGCTAATTAGTATAATAAATGTGAAAGTTTGTAACGATAGATGGAAGGATGTTATTGCGTGAAAGAGTAACAAATACTCTTTCACGCAAAAACTACTTAACGGATTTGAATAAAATTTGGTGCATGACCAGGTTATATTCTAACTTAATCCATAGAATACTTTATAGACTGATTCATGAAACGTGTAATACAACTAGTTTTTTTTTTATTATTGGATGAAAATGGAATGGTAACCCCGCCTGTGCTAACGGGATACGTTGGCGGGGCACCAGTGAAGGGTGATAGATGAGAATGAAAACAGTCCAGTTAGCCCATCATGATAAATTCATCAGGAATTAACTATAATAGTTTCCAGGGAGAACTGCGAAGAGGTCGACCTGGTTGGGTATATTGCTAGCAATGGGATTCTCAATCTTCATTACTTTCCCTCCAATACAACTAGTTAGAAATAAGAAGTTACGTGAGCGTTCCAATACCTACAATGTTGTAGGCAATGGTCAGGTCAACTCTCTATCAAGTGGATGGTCAGTTTCTTCATGCTTGTACACAGTGTTATTTATGATTTAAAATTCTCTTTTCCAGTTACATGCTAATGCGGGAGTGTTGGTCCTTCTCTCCCGGAGACAGGCCGTCATTCACAGAGTTGGTTGAGGACCTCGACAAGATCCTCACAGTTACGGCCAACCAGGAGTACCTGGATCTAGGTTTGCCACAACTGGACACACCTCCGTCGAGTTACGATGGCTCAGGCGACGAGAGCGATAGTGAATTCCCTTTTATAAAGTGAATTGTGATGCAATGACTCGGTTTTGAAACTGTATCAGTGTAAAGAACAGAAGTTTTGAATTAAATGACTTTATATACAAAAATCGTGGAGACAATAATGCAATTGTTGATGTGTATATATATATATATATATATATATATATATATATATATATATATATATATATATATATATAACCACTGTATATATATATATATATATATATATATATATATACAGTGGTTACATATGTTGTGACTTTAACTCTTTTGTGTAAGGTAATCATGGAACTGCAATCATGCGCATATAAATCTTGATAGAGTACTTCAAGATTTTAAAAACATAAGTGGAGGAAGAAACAAGGATTCTTCCGTTACTTTGGAAGTATTCTACAAATACCTCCATTGATATTTATACGTAAACTATCAAATTAGTGACTGATATCTGTAATTTTGAATAAAGCTGTTAATATCTCTGTTACGAACTAATATATTCTTTAATGGGGAAAAATGACTCTCTTGTATTATATCTTATAAATTAGTGGTAGATATGCGCACAGCTATATCTTATGAATATGCCATAAGACATGGCTGTTTTCCGCATAACTAGCTCGAGTTGGTGTTTAGATTATTTTGTTAAAATATATCGTAGAATGTAGTTGAAAGCGTTCAATGTCTGGACATGTTTGTGTATTAATTAATTATTTACACATTTTAGTGTAAATAATCAAGTAAAAATATAGATACTAACTATAAACAAATCTCCCACCTTGAGTGCTGTGTGCCTTAACAACTAGGTCGGTCGAGCCCAATAGTTATGGCAATATTATTGTATTTATATAAAATTAAGGAGTAGATTTTTGGTATTTTTTTTTTTAATATTATTTGGCGTTACAATCGAGTATGACTGAATATTTTTTATATGGTAGGTATTAGAATTATTTTTGGAATACAACGACATCAATATAGTTATGTATTTATGAGTTTAATATTAATCATGTTATTTGATTTAATTGTATATATAATATTTTATATTCATTTTTTTTATACAATTTAGAATGGCAAACAAGCTGACGGCCCACCTGATGGAAAGTGGTAACCGTCGCCTATAGACATGAGCAGTACCATGGACATAACAGAGTGTACTGTTTCGCCCATGATACCCCCCATGCGTTGCCATTCCTGAGGACTCAGGTGTTATTCCTCTGTACCCTGTAAATTCACGCCATATCCCACCCTTCAAACCGAAACGCAGCCATGCAAACACAACTACACGGTTGAAACAAGAATGATGGAATGAAACTTCGTTACCATCATATTTCATAATCGTTTATTTATTGTTTCCTTTTTTAATGCATTTTTGTATTCCGATTTTACAAAATGGATGAAAATTGAAAAAAATACTTCAAAGATATATATGTTTAGTATAGATATACCAAAAAGTGCAAACATAGTATTGCATAATAGAATTGTAAATAGTAATTATTAAGAGTGTATGATGTATTTTATAATGCAAACAATTTAACAGTTATCTTCAAAATTAGTGCCTTTCAATTACTTAGAAAATGAATGAAAGTAATTTAGTTTTTCTTTTTTTTACATTAGTATTAGTAGAAGTAACTATTTTACAATAGTATGTTTTGTAAATAGTCATAATGTACCAAAGTCTAGAACATTTTTGTATTATAAAAGTATTATTGGTGTATTTTATGAAGTATTCTAATTATTTTCAGTATTTTTTTTTTTAGATAGTACATGAGTTGTGATGTGTTATAGATCGCAGATAATAAAATTGTTTAGCGACTAGTCTGCAAACGCATGCATATTTTTTACATATACTGTAATGATAGTGAGTCATGGTAAGAAATTAGTATATGACTAAATTAAAATCACAAAAATAATTGAATGTAATTTAGTTGTACATTCATAGTTCGTATATACTATTTATTTGGAATGTATGAAACATTTGCATCACGTGACATTTACACATAAAATACTTTATGCCTACAAAAATATAAATTAAATTTATTATAAATATAAATATAATTAATAATTTTAATTTATATTTTATTGTTCATATAATGTGCATGACGGTAAAGAAAAATATACTTCGTAGAACACTGCATAAGCAAATTTTTATGTTTATTATTATATGTAAGTATACAGGGTGTAAAGGACAGGTTGGCAAAAACTGGAACAGTGAAGTCAAACCATTATTCTGAACTGAAAACTCGTGGATATTCTTTCTGGAAAATTTCAAATTTTTACCTGTCATTTTCATTTAAAATCATGTTGACATAATATAAATATGAAATAAAAATATTTTATAGTGAAATATACTATGAAATACAAAAAAACAGCAATGTAATTAATATTAGTATTAAAATCCTGTCGCGACACGCGATATCAGTTGTGTAAGGTCGCCACAAGTGTACGAAAACTACCTACGGAGAAGCTCCATTGACCGCGCGCGTTGTAGGTATCACGCGTCGTATGAATCGTAAAATTTCAAATACATTGCGCGGCGTCAAAACTAAGAATCGTTACAAAGAAATTATATGACTTTGGGAAAATAATCCGCCATCTGATTTAGTCCGTTCATCCGAATCAGCTGTTTTCATTTTGGCCAACCTGTCCCTTTTACCCTGTATATATTAAAAATACTCCGGGATTGAGATTTTAATGCATTTTACCACCAAATAATGATTGTACTTAATTAGCTTATACTAAGTGAACTTTATAAATAATTTAAAATGTAAATACGAAATAAATATTACTATGCGATATAGGTACCTAGGAAATTATGTATTTGAATTTATAATTCAATTACGGATATGTAATAATATTCTATCAGCACTTTATAGAAACTATAGATCTGTGACATAAGGACTGATGGGATTCTGTTTTTTTTTTTTGATGGTCGTGGAAGTAAACAAATAGGAAACTGATAAATTTTTAAACATATACGTTTGTAAATAAAATTCGTTCATGTACGAACAAATTATATGAGACAATACATATTAAAGAAAGTATTCAGTAAAATCAAAGTTTAATAAAAAAAAACATGCTTAGAACTTAACAATTATACCATATTACGTTGTACCAGGTCGAATAACCCATCTGAGATTACTCTCTGAGATCTGAGACAAGTTATTAATTTGTAAAGGTTATAAATATCGTTGAAAACAAATCATGAATCAAACCAAAACATAAAAAAAAAAAACTAACAAGTTACATGACAATTTGCTTCCTACATATAGGGGGCGAGTTTTTTTATACATAAAGTGACGCTACACGGTAATCAATGACCAAATAATGACGTACAAAAATATATATGGATAAACAACTTACTTTACGTTTATGAGGTGTATTTTGGAAAATCAAATATTAAGGGATGAAAATCAATTTCCATGTAATAAATCCAAAAAGTAATGAATTCCCGCCATATTCTATAATTTTGAAAACATTTTTAGTTTAGTCTCAGTCTGTCTGAATATATAACTGTAACTCAAAGATATGATTTATTTTATTTATTTATTAAACACAAGAAGACAACATGAGTACATTGAACCCAGCAGTGGGCGAACCTGTATCGTAGGACTCCATAAGTGATTCCCAAGACACAGTGTTTTACAAATATTGATCAGTGAGCCAATTTTATTGGAAAATGACCTTAGTTTATTTGATAGTTTAATACACCTATCCCCCGATTTACACGGTAGATACGTTCCTGAGAAAAACGTGTAAATCGAATAATTAAAAATTTTCAAGTCAAAACCGTGTAAATCGAAAAGCTTGCAGAAAATGCATAATTTTGCTATTTAACAGTTGTGATTTTTTTCAATAATTTTAGGTGTCCACAGAAATAAAAATAAAATGCATTGACAGGTTAAAATATGTAATATATTACGGAAACACTGTTTTTTTATTTAATTACAATACATTAAACTGAAAAATTAAATCTTTCTGACACTGTGAAAATTTCACTCAAATACAATTTTCCGTAGATAAAACTTTAATTTTATGCGAAGAAATACAGACACAGTGTGCATGTGCAGCAAGTCAGCACATAAGCTCGGGATTCCCCGTGAGATGTGTACACACGCACAGTAGCATTTAGTAGAGTGCGATAAAAACAAAAAAAAAAAACTTATTTGGAAAACCGTGTAAAAGCGAAAACGTGTAAAACAAGTACCGTGTAAATCGGGGGATAGGTGTATACTTACCTAAATAAGAAACCTGAACAATATCTTGCTAAATCCAAACTTGACAGCTGTCACTCTTTTAATAAGAAAATATCATGACTTTTCATTCCCGAGAACAAATGTATTGGAAGGAGATATTGTATTGAATTTATATATTTCATTTATTATTAGATATAGTTTAGTCGTTTCGATAAATGTACGCGTTCGGCGGCGGCCATGTTTGTGTCACGTAATTGTTTGTATATTTGATAATTTCTACGGAAGGATGTTAATAATATGGTGTACCTAATCAATAAATACGTATGAATGCGATGGATTCGTTTTATTTGACGTCTATTCTAGCATTTTAATACCAGAGGGAGACTTTGTACAAAATTCGATTGCTTGAGTACGTTTATCCTATTCGTGTTTCAACCGTGAAGCAGTTGTGTTTGCATGGCTGTGTTTCGGTTTGAAGGGTGGGATATGGCGTGAATTTACTGGGTACGGAGGAATAACACCTGAGTCCTCAGGAATGGCAACGCATGGGGGGTATCATGGGCGAAACAGTATACTCTGTTATGTCCATGGTACTGCTCATGTCTATAGGCGACGGTTACCAATTTCCATCAGGGCCGTCAGCTTGTTTGCCATTCTAAGTTGTATAAAAAAAAAAAACTGGTTTTTGAAATATTATCTAAAGGTGTTAGCTGGCTCGCGGATTGAGTTTGTTGTGGACTGGTGCCCATAAACGAATGCTTAAAAGTCAAAGGAAATATCTTAAAGAAGAAAGAAAATAAAATATCGGTCTATTGAGATATTTTACCTGCTACTTAGTTGAGATCCCGGTTGGTCGGAAAGGAATTGTTAATATTGGGGATATAGACAATATCTGCTAACAATACGCGCTGTCACGACTTCCTCGCGGTTCGCCCTAAAAACCATTGTGTTCAATTTCAAGTAAAGCTGTCTGTCTGTTCATCTTCACCTATCACCCCTCATTGGTGCCCTGCCAGCGTATACCGATAACATAGACGGGGTTTACCATACCATTATCGTGTATTTAAAAAAAAAAAAAAAAAACTAGTTGATACCCTCTTTGGAGCCAATAATTTTTTTATGAAAACTTTTATATTCTTAAAATAAAGCTTTAATTCTAACATAATCAAATCAAAACAAGAGTTATAACCTTCTTCTATTAAATATATTGTCATATTTGGTAAGATAGATTAATAAACAAAATTATCATTACAATCCCTAGTAAGTAAAAAATACATGAACGCCATCTATTATTAGTTCGGTGAACTATAATAACTTTCTTCTCACTCGGTAGTGCAGTTGATGTACCTTTAGATCGGTAGATGTCGGTAGATATTAACACTTCAGTTTATTTAATACTAGTGACACGTCCCGGCTTCGCACGGGTGGACATTTTTATAATATTTTAAAAAGTGGTTATTGTGAAATAACGATAATAATTGGACATATAGTATCGCGAAGTGTTTTGTAGTTATTGATATTTTCTTCAATATTGTAGAACATACTTTTGTTCTATCACCAATAGTTTCCGCAGCGCACGCGAAGAAAGATATTTTATAGCATTATTTTACACCTTGAGTTACGTTACTAAAGTTTTAGTAAGGATCCCTCATCTTTTCTAGCAATAAATATAGCCTATGTTACTCAAGGTGAATGCAGCTTTGTAATGGTGAATGAATTTTTGAAATCGTCAAAGTAGTCTTTGAGTTTATTCATTACAAACATACACACAAAAATACAAATATATATTATAATATTAGTCCTCTTTATAATATTAGTGTAGACTAACGATCCGGCATAGCTTCATTTGAGCAGCAGATGACAGACGAAGTCGCTAAATAAAACTAGTATAAAATAAAAAGCAATTATCTATAAATATTAGGTTTATTTTTTTCAATTATTATAATGGCGCAGCCTTATACAAATTCATATAAAAGTTATTACTAGTATAACAATTATATATATATATATATATATATATATATATATATATATATATATATATATATATATATATATATATATATATATATATATATATATATATTATACACATTTAACACGTTGTTTATGGCGTAAAAATATTTACACAATAGGTATATTCGCATATTTCGCATTTCGAGGCTCATATTTCAATTATAACATGATATCGATCTTATAATTTATTGAATTAAGTCTTTGTAATATTAGGCAGAAATGATTTGATCATTTCTAGTTTACAATACATTAACTTTAAAACAGCAACACAACTATAAAAACAACATTTATTTACTGAATAGGGCAAATAAAACAATTTCTCATAATTAAAAATGCTACTCCAGTGTTTAATTAAATTTCAAATTAATTTGATACAATCGAATTTTGGAATTAAATATTGTTCAACGATCTATTATTAAAAAACATTTGTTCCAAATTTAAAAAACAGAAAAGTTTAACAAGTAGTCATAACAAAGACACAAAAACCCTATTTACTATTACGGGGTATAAAATGTCAAAACCTATTTGCTAGGTTATGGCCATAGATTAAGATAGTAGTTCGCATTCTTTTTTAACGGTTTTAACCTAAGAACAAGGAACATACATAGAAGGAATGATAAAATAAAAACTGTAAATCTAAACTGGATGCCTCCTTTCTTCTTATGCAAATATAATTAGTAAAAAGAGGACGAAAATACACCATCAGTTGCTATTTTTCTCAATTCTTATTAGGCTAGTGTATAGAAAATATTTGATGTGTCAAATATTTGACAATAACAAATCTTAAATTATTAGATTATATATTGGACACAGTTTATGTAGAAAGTATGCAAGCAGGTTGTATCTGAATTTGGTAGGGTTATACAACCGTATAACATTTTCTATACACTAGCCTGCTATGAAGTTTTTATTTTATCATTCCTTCTATGCAATTCCTTGTTTTTAGGTTTTGACAGTCTATGACTACCGCCATGTTTTATAGATACTAGCGATCTTTCTTAATAGCGCACGGGTGGATATAATTTTCGAAAATAATATTTTTTTCTCAAACATACTTGGAAATGTGAGCATTATTTTGACAATCTTCTTAGAGATAAATCAAAATTGCCGTACTGGCCAGATACATGCGGGCAGCGGCCGGCAAAAGTTGTATGAAAATCCATATCTGTCGTGTTTTGCGGCCAAATAAATTACTACGTAAACTCATACCTATCCTGTAATTTAAAAATGGAATGACCTTTTACTTCGAAACATGGCTACCAAGGAGGTAACTAATAAAAAGTTTTATTTAAATTTCGAACGGACTTGCAAATAGAAAGCTGTTTATTGAAAAAAAAAAACAAAGGAACATTATGGCGCGTAAAAAATTATTATTGTTCGTTATTCGTCATTGAACTCAAAAAATAAAATTGTGTTTTTGATTTCCGCGCATTGTTTGAGAAAAGTACTATACAAGCTTTGGCCACAACTAGGCATTGATGGACTCACGTATGTGTGCTTCGGCTTTGCCTCGGCCCACATTTGCACGTTCGTCCATCAATGCTTCAGTTGCTGGCCGTTGCAGTAATGTACCAATGTTACACACACTTCTACAATTATTTTACAAACTCGTATTCAAGGTCTTGAGTCTGATTATAAAAAATACCGCGTTCCAAAATATTGGACTATTTTTATAGTGTTTTATTATACAACGATAAACTATTTGACACTTCAAGTTATCACATAGTTTTTTTAATTATTTATTTAAAAAAAAAACAACATTGAATGTTAGGGGCATATAATTCGATACAATCAAATTAATTAAGTTTAACACAATGACACACTTGGATCGACATAAATTTATTATTATACAAACAATAATTAAAACTTAATCTATTTTATACAGCATTAATAAATAATAATACTTGTCAATTACATTATTATTTGGTCTAAATGGTGTCTGTGCGTAAAATATTAACTTACTATGGGTCATTAAGAAAAGTATGCGCAAAATATTTATTGGATCCTACAAATCCTTATTTATACATAAAACAGAATTATTTATATCACAATTTAAAAAAAATAGTCAAAGAAACAATAAAACTATACAAAATAGATTACAATAAAATATTACAAAATTATTTAACTTTGTACAAAGTTAATAACGCGATATCATTATTTGTTTTTTATTGGAATGGCAAACAAACATACGGCCCACCCGATCAAAAGTGATACCTACTCGACTGTCACTTACTGATGTACTCGTAAAGTAAAAAAAACACTTTTGCGAAATGTAAATAAATCCAATTAAATTGTATAATTGTGATTGAATAGAAACGAATTAAAATAAACACACCATAGTAAGTCTTCGATCCCACAGGAAGTCATTTAGCACTCATCCTCTGAATGTTATGAGACTGTGTCTCAAAATCATAACATATCACATTACTATTTATTATCAATTAGTCGAACCTATTGTAACCGTGGAACAATAGATACGCGTCTGTATTTTATCAAAACAAGACTCCAAAACTTTATTATCACATATAGCTAAATAATACCCGAATGCTTAAAAAGTGATAAATCTATCTAGCGCGAACGATCATTTGAAATTTCAATCACATGTTTACACAACGTAGTTTCTTCTCTGGTACCCGGGAAGCGAACTGGAAGCTAGAAGCGACTGGTTTGGCATCCTGCAACGGCAATTCCTGTTTCTCCACCTCACCCATCATACTCTTCAAACATACCTTCATTTCGGCGGCGAGATTCCTCACCAGTCTCTCTAAAGAGAACAAATGATCGTCCAACGCTTCAGGGATTTCATCCCTCATAAAATCGGCTAATCTTAATAAATATTCTACGTTTGTCCCAGATGGTCCGCGGCACTGTAAAATCTGTTTCGCTATGTCCAGGAGAGGAGCTTCACCCAGCCAGTGTCGGTTCTCTGGCACGGCTATGTACATGAGGGCGTCTCTCTTCTCACCAGTTATGTAGTTATTATTTGTGGGGGACAGGATAGGACGGGGATAGAAGTTGACGGTGAAAATTTTGTAGCCACCGAGTTGGCATTCCCTGGTGCTCAAGTAGGGTAAAGCGGCTTTGTCCTCGGCCGAGACTTGGAACGCTTTGCCCCAGGTGATGCCCTGTAACAAAAGATAAATAACTCTTAGTGTAACTAAACAAAGAAATATAAGCGAGTCTTGGTAATTAAGGACTGTAATCCTTTTATATCGATGCGTAATGCAAAATGTATGCATCATGGTTTGCTTGAACTTGATTAAAAATCACTTGAAATTTAAGCGTAAGAAATAACTGTTAATGCAATAAAATACATAATATAAGAGATCCAGCAATTTAATGGTATCTGTTATTTATTTATATAGGCTAAAATATTAAATAGTAGTGAATGTAATGGACACAATTTATTTTATCCATATAATTTTTTATACTTTTGTTAAGAAATTTCGCGACTAGCTCTTGGCCACAACAGAATATCAGTGTTTTGCTCTTTTAAGGGCAAAGCAATAAACTGAGTTGTAACCATTATATAGATAGTTAGGTGCCGGCCGTTAGGTTGTTTGGCACAGCATAACATGACATGACAAATAAGTTACAAATCAGCAATAATAAGATTGTATTTTTGTTATAGATATCTTCAGCTACTTCGAGAATTAAAAGTATCATCACTGAGTTTGTCGGATCAGTTGACAACAAAGAATTACAAACAAATCTATTTTTAAACTTATCAAACCATTGGAAGTAAACGTTCAAAACCTTTTTCATATCGGCATTATATTTGTTTTATCAGCCCGATGTCACTGCTCTATCTTTTGGTGTCAGCCAATAGCGAATAGTGATACGAGCACAACTTTGAGATTGCAAACAGTACAGAATATCAGAATTAATTGGGAAACAGAAATGAAAGACCGTATCTTTAACAGTAGAGAATAGAAGAGACAAAATGCTGGGCCACATTATACGACATGATGATTTTTTGAGCATGTGAGAAGGAAAAATAGAGGGCAAAAGAGGAAACGGAAGATCGACGAATAAATACATGTGACAGATGAAGGAAACATTACGTGTGATGTCGAATAAGGAGGTCAAAGATATGGCCTGGGATAAAGCTGGCTGGAAGATAATGCATTAATTAGTTGCACCGATAAAAGGAAACTCTTAAATAAAAAAGAAACTTTATTGATATATTGTACTTAGAACGTACAAGCTGATGGCCCACCTGAGTGGGCCGTCAGCTTGTACGTTCTATATTAATTCTAATATTAACAAACATAAGGGAACTTATAGTTGATGGATGGGCAACAGCGTCTCTTGTAAAACATCTGTTGATATTGATGTGAAATCCAAAGCAATGGTTACTGCTATATGTATGTACATAGTTAGCAATGAAATTCTATTCTATTCATCATCAAAAGCCTAACTGCGGTTGCCAACATGTCTGCCAAGCGTGGCAACTACTGGCAAAACCATCTAAAGGGGAGGCCTATGTTCAGCAGTGGACAGTTAACGGATGATACGATACTATCCCCATTTTGGGAGACTCATGACCAACAGTAGGACACGATATTTTAATAAATTATCGCTAGTAAAAGCCGTGTGGTCTCGGCATAGAATAGGCCACCTCTTCCTTTCCCGTGTGTGTCGTAATAGCCGATTAGGGAGGGCGAGGAATGGGCAGCAGCGTCCCACATAAAACATCTCTAAAGCCTACGGTTGCCAATCAGTCTGCCAAGCGTGGCAACTACTGGCGACACCCCCAAGGGGCAGGCTTTTGTTCAGCAGTGGACAGTTAAAGCCTGATTTGATGATGATCATTGCTAATAAATTACGTGATTTATTTATTGTTAGTGCCAAGGATATAGAAGATTAACAGGTGGCTATATAAAACGTGTTAAAATGCTTGTTTTGATGTCAATAGGTATGCCTAACAACAACCGCTCCATTATTTATTATCGTAGAGGAAACCGTTGACCTCGCGTTTAAAAACATAATTATATAATGCTCTTTGTTTTTATATATTAGTAATGTTTTTTCAGTAGGTAGTTATATACACCAAGCATAATATTCGTTCGTATTTTATGCTATTTTATTTCAGATAACTAGTACATTTATAATACTTTTGAAAGCCTACTTAATTCATATATTTAATTAACTTCGAAAAAAAGAGCGTTCTCAATTCGGTTATTTTTTTTTATGTTTGTCATAACCTGGAAAATTATTTTTAATCTGAAATATACGCTTACATATTGGTCCTATAGAGATTTTATCAAAATACATGTTTTAAAATACAAATTGTTTTTTTATACAACTTAGAATTGCAAATAAGCTGACGGCCCATCTGATGGAAAGTGGTAGCCGTCGCCTATAGACATGAGCAGCATCATGGACATAACAGTGTACTGTTTCACTCATGATACTTGGTTTAAAATAACTGGTTTTGTCACAATTGAAGTTAGTTTTTTTTGTGTACCACAGTTTAATTATTTCAAGTAACTTATACAAAGTATGATTGGCTTTAGCATAGTAGGAATACCGTGGTTTTACTTGAAGTTAAGAATGCAAGATAATATAATATGTTGACATAAAATAATTAATCAAAAAATTTAGTTATACAACGCGAACAATACTTTAAATTGTTTTACAGGTACACGTATAACTAAGCAAGAGTAGTTGATGTCGTATCTGTGTTTTGGTATAAGCCTCAGATTATATGAATATACTATTTCCTTCAAAATGCTTTACGGAAAATAGGTAAATTTTTTATCCACGTGTTAACTAGGATATCAGATTATAAATTATTACTATAAATAGGGTATATAGGTCGTAATATAAAACTGTTTCAAGTATTATTATTGTAATCCTCATACAATATTTAAATTCATTTATATATTTAATTATCATTACCTATACAATTATACAATCAATTTACATTAAAAAAAAAGTAGCCTCATTTGGGGAAATAATTCAATTAGGAGGATTTTTTTAACATTGGCGATAATTCTTTAATGCATAGAATACTAAAAAAAATATTAAAAAAATGAGTCAACTAATTTGACACATGGCTGACTAAACGTTATAATTTAATATATAAACAACTAGATATATGTATGTAAATAAGTAAATAAATAATTACAATAAACAAAACAAAAAAAAACTAGTGATCATATTTATTTATTAATAATATTTAATAGGTCTTGAAAAGCTATTTTAATGTATAAATTATATTTATTAAGGGGACAGCGCGAACGCAGTCCCCCACTACCAAAAATTGTACTCCCGAGTTAACCGCATTTGGGTTAATCGCAAGGGTCAGCCCAGCCGTAGTGCAATGGTAGGGCCTCGCCCTGGAGGAACCTCCTTCTTGATCAAGGTATCCCCTACGCCAGGTAAGTATGATTTCAAAACTGTCGCCCAAGCTTATATTCAATCGGCAGCAAATTTTTATAGCGCGTTTCAGAAATACGACAACAAAAACGCCATCTATCGAGAACAAGAGTAAACAATAGTTCCGTACTTTCTATACAAGGAAAGAATAGAGGGCGTAGTGTTTTGTGTTAAAATTTTATTTATGTTGGATTATTGCCAAATATTGCAGATTATTGCAGATATTTGTTATATACATATTACAATTACGAAATACAGTAGAAAGATTTTTTTTTATAGAACGGGTGTTGAAAATATTCGACTAATACGTAAAATTATCATATAAATTATGTTTCGCACCGGTTCAATATCCGGATGGTCTCGAAATAGGTCACGGATATAATGAATATTTGAATATACACGAGCAAGCCAAAAATGTTATGTAGAACACGTGTCGTGATCATTTGTGTATGACCAACGTGACGTTGAAAAATAAAAAATGGAATTGTTTGAATAGAAACAAAGAATTTTTCACCGATTTGTATGATATCTTGTCTTTTTAAAGTGTTTTAACAATATAATTAGAAACTAGGTACATTGATTTCTAAACTATAATTTACAATATTTGTGAGAGGAGACACATGGGACCACATAAATGAAGTCCAAACCAAACTGACCTTCATTACCTACTGACAATACAAAGAGGTTTTACGAAAACTATCATATATACTTACTAATATAATAAAACAGTAACTATATGATATATGTGTGTGGAAGATATTAAAGAAAAATTGTTATGTGAAGTTAAAAGCAATAGAAATCAAAACAATAGTTTTTAGAAATTTTATTTGTCTATTTGCACGTTTATTCCGGCATCAAGTAAAAACAATGGAACTAAATTAACTCCCAGTATCTTTCTGAAGGTCTAACTTAAAATGTTTCATCTCGATACGCCGACTAGAAGTGATCTACGAGTATTTCATTCATTTTCTTACTTCTGAAAACCACGCATACAAAGTAGCGGGCGGAATGCTAGTTTAAAATAATTTAGGACACTTTTTAATCGTAATTCCGACAACTGGGGACAACGACTAGCCTTCTGTAGTCACACTGTGTCCGCATGACTAACTCTATATATGTAAACATAAGGTATATAAATCTATATAGTAAGCTGCAAAGAGATGTTTTCAAATAATATGTGCACATACTTGAAAGCAGATCTACGTCTGATCAGGCCATTCTACTTTTAGAATTCTTTTACCGGATTAAAAGTTGACCATTGCCATCATGTTGTAATCATCCAGAAGCATTGCAATGTAATATATTGTTATAACCATGTAGGTCTGGGCATAGAAAAGCCATCTTTTTCTTTCTCTTGGGTGTCGTAAGACGCAACTAAGGGAGCTTATGGTGGGGGGATGGGCAGCAGCGTCTCTCAAAGAAAATCACCAAAAGCTAAACTGCAATTGCCAACCCGCCTACCAAGCGTGGCAATTACTGGCAAAATCCCCCTTAATTGGGAGGTTATGTTCAGCAGTGGACAGTTAACGGCTAATACAACAATACTGTTATAAGCTCAAAATAATTTGAGGTAGGTACAGACATATGAAATGAACAGGTTTTCGGTAGCATAATTTGTAAGTCCTGTTTCTGACACAATAGTTTCAAGCCAAGGCAAACCTGAATGGCTTGAACCTTTTGAATTATTGTCATTGTCATCGATTACTATGGCGAATATATTACTATCAACAATATATTCCCC